TGGTCCCTGCCTGGCGCTCGGCATTAAAGGGTACAACAAGGACTGGGTGGTTCGGAGTCAGTATAATGTGTCTGAGTGGGGTATTCATGCTTCACTGCGGCATGGTATCTCAGTGGGCTAGCACTATAAAACCAGCTTAAATCTGGGCTAGTACAAGCAGCTGCACATACACATACACACGCATGCACGTCGTCATATGAGCGAAATATTCTCAAGCACAATGTCAAACCCAATTTCACCTCACCTCACTTTGATTGTTTTCAAAATGTTTTTAAGAACAAAAATGTTTTGTCATCCTTTGTTTTAATGGTGTGTTTTGAACAACTTAATTACTGATTTTAATCTTATTCAGCTGTTCTGTCAGTCATTGGAAGTACTTGCAGACATCATGTATCGTTCTAGTATTTACTGTAGCCATATTGTTGCATGAGAGAATCCCGTTAACTTAAATCTTTCCTTCGTTAAGTGGTTTAAATTACTACACAAACAGTTCATTTTTCACAAACTTCACATCACTGGAGCCTGTTCACGAGCATATTTTGAGAAAATCAGAAACTACACATCTTTTAAACATTCTAATTACAGACCCTAAATGTTGTCAATGAGTGCTAGTATGCCATAGCTGTCAGAAATTATCAAAATGGAATGCAGACGGTCATGCAACTGCCTCTCATCTTGAAACAGCTCGCATGTCGAGGTGCAAATAAAGGGAAATGTTGTTTGATTATTGGCTGGCGTTTGTTAATTCCCCCAGACATAAGAGATTTAACTGGAGCCAGAAATCTGCTTGACCACTAAGTTCCATTTCACATGCTATGATCTGACAACATCTTCACGAGAATCAGCACTGAAATATGAACTAAACGTGTCATAATTTGCTCTAGTTTCTCCCTCACTTCAATAAGCATGTGTGTGATAGTTTTTTAATTGATAAGGACTTGGTTATTCAAGAATTTTAAGCCAAAGGTCAGGGAGTACAGCGATCTGAAGTATTTCATAATTCAAGAACGACTTGATTTATGGCACTCAAGCCATGTTTAAAGTTTGAAGAAGTCAGTGATAAGGGTATTGGATCTTTTTACAAGTTGACTTGTTTATGTTGCATTGTTTCGGCTTTATTAAATTAGATCATGGAATATTTTTTTTATAGCGTGCCGTTTCAGATATGCATTTGAGAGTGGTGCTTGATTATGTTGTTTGAGTTCTTCTTTGTGGTGTAATAATGATTGTTTTATGCTGGGATGAATAGTTTTGTTGATGAATTGTTTTGTGGCTCAAATGATGGAAATTCTGATAAATGTTTGTTTTAAGTGCTCTTGGTTGAATTTAATTCTTTAACTGCATGTTTACTTTTTTCATTGAAAATGTCATTAACATATAAATACAACATATTCTCATTAGAATACTGAGAAAATGCATTTGCAGAAAAAGCCAAATGGGATTTGCTGGAGGCAATTTGTCGCTATTGCAAGGCTATATTTTCAGGAAATTGAGAATAAACAGTGGTGATTTTAAAAAGTTTAATTGATTTTCAAACCGAAAGTGAACTCAAGCTGAAGTTAAAAAGGATATGATTCTTTTCACCTGTCACCATTACTATGCAAGTACAGGCGCCAGCGCCAGACTGCCTGGAGAGAGCACCTGCATTCTCTGACATGTCAGACAGCTCCTTCACCCAGCTGACATGCAGGCCTGGACTGCATGTACAAATGAGAGGGTCTGCATGCCAGGGATGTTTCATGCAGTAATGTCAATTCAGCCATATGTGTTTAGGCAAATTTGTCGTGATCTTCTGAAATATACACCATGAACTGTTAAAGGTATTGCTGGGTGTAGTACTGTTCGGTGGACATGCCTTGTTAGACCTACTCAAGTCTCTTAGGTAATAACTGATAGTTTAAATGATAATTTCTAACAAATATGAATAACAGACTGGTGTTCTTAGACTGTCTGCTTATCTAGATTTGCGTCTCTTCAGGATAGAATTACTATACATCCATGGGTGTAGCATTCAGTACAGCCTTGGAACAAGGCTAATGTCTTGTGTGTTGGGAAGGGTGACTTAATGTAATTCTTATTTTGGTTGGACTATATTTTGTATATGTAATCTTGGACAGTATGGCTTGATGCTCATACCATTGACTACTGGTTTGACATGCTTCAGATCAGTTTGCAAACTGTTTTATATCTTTAACATAGTTCCCTTGGCAAGCAGATGGTAAATAGTTATTTTGTTCAGATTTCAGGTTTTTTTAGAGTTCATATTTTCCTTCATTCTCTTCCCACAGAGGTTACTTGTCATATCTTCCTAAGGACCTCTGTTCTAATACAGCCTTTTCATGGTGCGAGTGTTCAGGATTCGTGATTGGTTGCAATCAGATTTAGTTGTGCAATCAGCGACGTTGTTTCTAAAGTGATCATTCGCAAGGCCTCGGTTATTTCCGTATGCTTCGGGAAAACTAGAACCCCTTTCCCTGCGCGATGCGCAAACGTTTCTTATAGACAGAACTCAGTCATGTAAATGGCGGATCAATGGCGTCTCCATCGCCATCGTTGACAACGGCTAAGCTAGATGTCTTGTGCGTCACATCAACACAAGTTCCTGGCAGAGGAGGGATATTTGTGACCCAACATTTGCTTGTATTAGTCAAGTTGATGTAACACGTGTTCTGATTGGACAGAAAGAAGGGAGATAATTCGTGTTGCGATTTTTGCCACTAGGGGATTTTACGAGAACCGGGAAATATGACTGTATTAGAACAGAGGTTCGTAGGAAGATATGACAAGTAACCTCTGTGGGAAGAGAATGATTTTCCTTATTTAGAGTTATTTTAACATTACATTTTTAACAGTGCGTTCAAGGCAATCCTTTTGAACTAAGCGTAAAACCTCTTCCTCTATTTGCTCTTGTTTAACATTGAAATGTGAGTCAAATTTACAAAGAAGTAGCATTATTTATAACACCATGAACTGGGAAATGTTGAATGAATTTCAATTTGGGAATTATTTTGGACAATTTGCTGAAGATTTATTTATTTGGGCATGGATATTGGCTTCTGATAAATGTTGGTGCAGTTCTTGTCAAACATTTACTTTACTGCTACTGTGTAGAAGCCATCCCCTTAGATAAGCCTTACCAGGATCCACTGACTGATGGTTTAAATACCAGATTCACCCTCATTAGAACCAGTGGTATGTTAGTAGGCGTCACTATATTGATTAACACAAGCATTCAACCTACGTGGGTTTCATTTTCTTCCAGTATGGTCACATGATCAAATTTATACTGTTCAAAGCACCTTTCATCCAGTCTGACTCACTGAGAGTCTAGTATCAGATAAATTGAAAACCAACAGCTGAAAGCTATAACTGTAAATGCTTAAAATATCAAGAAAATACAAGTGACGAAAAACAGTTTCACTCTCAGCTTTGTGGTTACATTGACACGATTTTTGCAAAAATGTGTACAGTTTCTCATCCTTTATTTGAGACTGTTGTTATAGGGACTGATTCAGGACAGCCATCGTCCAAATATTTAAAAAGTAAAAAGCTATGTAGTCAAGACATGTGAGACTTTATTGTAATATATATATGACGCTAACCTGTATTCATAATCACTACTGTACATCCTTTTCACTACCGCATTGTACATTGACTTGTCAGCCCATTAAGTATTGTATAAGACCATTAAGTATTGTATAAGACTTATATCATAACACTGTCATGAAATGTATATATCAGGGAAGGTGTTTAATTGCCTCTCCAGGAAGAAGTAACTTGGAGGCATTGGCAGCTGGATACAGTATGATGATCAGAGAATAATATCTGAAAATTATGATTGATGAACATATAAAGATGTATGTGATATAACTGTCAACATTAATATCTAAATAAAGACAATGGAGGTGTTTTGTTCGTTTAAGATCATTTTCAGTTCTGACTGATGTGATAAAGTCATGGCACTTTAACCCAGTTTACCAGTGTCAAATGCTGCGGGTTTACTATGTAATTGTGAAGTGACAACAAATCAGATTACAGAAGACAGGAGGAGTTATTCCCCTTCTCCCTATGTCAACGGACCACTTGGCTGTGTGTACCTGTTGACTATGGACATGTCATTGGTTATATAGTGTTGTCCATTGTTGGTGTTTGAGTGTTATTGTCATCAAAATTAACACTCCGATGGCTGAGTTGTGTCAGTATATTCTAATATTCCCTTGTGGGGACTCTATGGCAGCAAAATAACACCCCTTTGTCACCCAGGAATACAGACTAATGTTACCCGTGAAGGTCCGTGTTAGAATATTGATCTTCAGTAACCCATGCTTGTCGTAAGAGGCGACTAACGGGATCGGGTGGTCAGGCTTGCTGACTTGGACAACACATGTCATCGGTTCCCAATTGCGCAGATCGATGCTCATGCAGTTGATCACTGGATTGTCTGGTCCAGATTCGATTATTTCTAGACCGCCACCATATAGCTGGAATTTTTATGTGCGGCGTAAAACTAAACTCACTCACTAACTCACTCAATGACTAAAGTGGGGATTGACAGGCTATGCATTGCACATCATCACACCAATATGATCTTGCCTCTGATTCAGGCTTGATCTGTGACATGCTGCCTCCCAGTCTCACAGAATTGTTAGAGGGGATTGTTATTTGTTTGATCTCTCAATAGAATATAGTTCTTGCTGCATTTGACATTTCGTAAAACAGTGGATATGAATACACAATGCCTTTAGGATTTCAGGTTTGAATCCCAGATGGTAATCAACCAAAACAAAGTACAGAATCTGTACTTCACTTAGCAAGTGTAATCCCTATTTTTACTTCATTTTTATTTTTTGCTAATCAAAAGACAGAGTTAGTTAACCCTGTCTCTTCATAATTGGTGTTGAATGCATGGATAGTTTGACAGCCTTTCTTTGTTGGTACAAATCTTCCATTATCATCTTTTTTCATAGCAGGATGTTCATGACTGTATCTTTTTGTTACAGGAAGTTCATAGAGCAATGTTTCAAGCCATTCTCATCCGGCCTGGTGGAGGAGGGGGTGTACAAGAGACTGTGTGATGAGACCGCCCAGTACAAAACAGATCTCATGAAGAAGGCAGAAGAGTGAGTGAAGTATTTGACCAGGACAGGGATTCCCATGTCAGGCATGAAGCCTGGTGTCCATGGTGCCGTTGTACAAAGCGATCTTATTGCTAAGGTGACCGTATCGCCCATATCTTAACATCGACTTAGTGCTAAGGTGACCGTATCTCCCATATCTTCACATAGACTTAGTGCTAAGGTGACCGTATCTCCCATATCTTAACATAGACTTAGTGCTAAGGTGACCGTATCTCCCATATCTTCACATAGACTTAGTGCTAAGGTGACCGTATCTTCCATACCTTAACATAGACTTAGTGCTAAGGTGACCGTATCTTCCATACCTTAACATAGACTTAGTGCTAAGGTGACCGTATCTTCCATACCTTAACATAGACTTAGTGCTAAGGTGACCGTATCTTCCATACCTTAACATAGACTTAGTGCTAAGGTGACCGTTACATCTTCCATACCTTAACATAGACTATCTCTCCATACCTTAACATAGACTTAGTGTTAAGGTGACCGTTATCTTCCATATCTTAACATAGACTTAGTGCTAAGGTGACCCGTATCTTCCATACCTTAACATAGACTTAGGCTAAGGTGTGATCTTCCATACCTTAACATAGACTTAGTGCTAAGGTGACCGATTCTTCCATACCTTAACATAGACTTAGACTTAGTGCTAAGGTGACCGTATCTCCCATACTTTAACATAGACTTAGTGCTAAGGTGACCGTATCTCCCATACTTTAACATAGACTTAGTGCTAAGGTGACCGTATCTCCCATACTTTAACATAGACTTAGTGCTAAGGTGACCGTATCTTCCATACCTTAACATAGACTTAGTGCTAAGGTGACCTAAGCTATTGTTTTGTACAACAACACCCTGCCCCTGATGTTGCTGGAATATCACGAAAAGCAGCATAAACCATGCTCACTCACTACTGGCTTCAAGATTTACCTGACTACAGTCAGGCATTATTTCACTACTGGCATTTAATGAAGTGTTTGTTCAAATGTGTATATATTTAGTGGAGTTAAACATATCTGGCCTTTTTTACATTGTATACTCACAGAGGATACATATCAGAGGAATGTTTTATATGGAACACAAATACAAGCCACCTGAACACCCTCTTGTAGACAGCCCATGTTTACAGCAGTTATAAATATTTTTACAATAGGTTGATGTATTGCTTTGAAAATATTCCTTTCATGATTGATAACATGTATTTTTAAAATTCCATAACCTGTTCTCTAGTCCGTCCTGCAGACCCAGAAACAAATATACCCAATACAGCCCAAGCATGTTTAGAACATGAGGCACGTCTCGAGTTTCTGTAAATGAAGAAAGTCTCTGGGCTCCATTTATAATACTTTAGGAAGAAAATTTAGGAACTGTTTTATCTGTAAAGAGTCTAGATGTTAGTTACCTTTTCCCTGCGCTGTCTGACAAACAATATCAGTATTTTACTGCACTCACCTGCATATTGTTTTTAAAACTATAAATCTCATGTGTACTCGTCTAATCATGAGACTGAGAATCTACAATAACTTCATACTGAAGCCATTATAATCAGAATAATAAACAAGAGAGCTACATGTTAGAAAATGCTCGGATAAAGCATTCGCTCATCACGCCAAAGTCAGACTTTTCATTCCCCACATTGGTCCAATATGAAGCCCATTTCTGGTCTCCCTGTCGTGATATCTTTGGAATATTGCTAAAAGCAGCGTAAAAACAACTCAAATACTAAAAAATGCTACTTAATTCACAAGCTTCATACAGAATCTTTTTCTCTTGAAGCTGACGAGCACCATTATGATTTATGGGCAGTGTTATCACTAAATTACCCACTATGACAGGGAGCCATTATTCTTGCTCAGCTCTCCAGTCACTGGTACAGGGCACAAGTTTGGGATGTATCATAAAGACAAGCTAGTACTTTCCCTTTATGATCCACTAATCAAATCAGTTGATAAGTCAGGGTAATAAGCCCCAGAAAAAACAGCCTGTAAACAGTGAAAGTATCAACACTTGTGTCTTAGATACAGAGCTTGTCTCTGGCTAATGTCGAGTGTGACAGTATTTACTCAATGTTAATGGCAGGGCTTCCATCTGTCGAAAATATTTACATGGCGTCACCAGGCTTCGGCAGCTGCATAGCCAAGCCATGTTTGTCTGATGGAAGATTGAAAGGGGATCTGAGGAAGTTATGAATTTTTCATGTTAAGATATCTTCTTGAAGAAAGAGGATCCCCTCTCATGCATATTTTCAGATTGTGAGAATTATGAAATTTTAGATCATGATAATGTCATCTATGTGGGCTTTTGTGGCTGATTTTCATCTGTCTGTCCATTATACTTTCTGTCCATCCATAATTTTTTCGCTATTTCTGACATAAACTTATAATTGATTGAAGCACACATAATATCCAGTCTTTGAATGGCATTTCAAAGTGGTACACATAAGGGAAAGAATTTACAAATGTCATGCAAGTTCTTTACTTAAAGGGAACACATTTTGGAGTATATGATTACTCCTTCAACAAGTGAATGAATTCTAGGATACAGAGAGAATACATATGCACATGTTGTTTATAAATGTTCATACATATTCTCTCTGATCTTAGCATTCAACCATTGAAGATGCGTGTTAGAATTGATCTTCAGTATCCCATGCTTGTCATAAGAGGTGACTAAAGGGATTGGGTGGTCAGGCAGACTTGGTTGACACATGTCATTGTATCCCAATTGTGTAGATCGATGCTCATGCTGTTGATCACTGGATTGTCTGGTCCGGACTCAATTATTTATAGACTGCCGTCATATAGCTGGAATATTGCATAAAACTTAACTCACTCACTCTTGGCATTCATGTTCTGTTTCCCAATTTAAAGAAGTTCACATTCGTAAATTCTGTCTCTCACTTATAATATGTGAGAATGTTAAGCAACAGTGTTAGTATGTACAACATACACTGGTGTGATTCTGTGTTGTAGGAGAGAGAGGAAGCTGTACACTGGGCTGTACCCAGACCTGCAGAGGAGAGAGAGAAGGATCTCAAGGTCAGCTGTGGTTCATTAAACATGTGAAGACATTCACAAATTACCCAGACCTGCAGAGGAGGATCAAGTTGCCAGAGAAGGATCTCAAGGTCTGTGTGGAGCCTGTGGTTCATTAAACATGTGAAGACATTCACAAATTAAGACAAAATTAAATATTAACCTCAATACCACTATCTATGTGTGGAGCTTGCATTTTATGACAAAAGGGAACTAAATCGGACACATTTTGGACACTAAACTCACTACCTCTGTGTGTGGAGCTTGTTCATTACAAACAATCACTAATTCAAACATAGTTCAGATAACTCACTACCTCTGTCAGTGTGTGGAGTTTGTCATCCATTAGAGGCAGAGACTAACTCAAACACACTTCAGATACGAAACTCATTACCTGTGTGTGTGGAGCTTGGGGTTCAATTCAGAAAGCACTGAATTTTCAAATTGTTAAAAACAAATTCAGATACTGAAATCACTACCTGTTTCTGTTTGTGGGACATATTGTACCTTAAAGATATACACTTTCCTTGTTATGCTTAGTTCAGCTACTCCACAGATGGTGAAAATGGGCAGGACAGCACATCATCTCTCATCCCCTGTCCAGAAAAAATGGCAGTAGGTGTTAAAGGAATAATTAAGATAATACACTGATTTCTACCAGTGCAATGAGGGGACTTATTTCTGCCCTGTCCTGTATTCCAGCTGACCATCCTGCTGACCTCCAAGCTGTTGGAGCGGTTCTACCCAGAACACATCCTGGCACGGATGCAGCTCCAGTCAGAGGATGAGTTCTGGGAGAGTCTGCATCTGGAGCCCAAGGACTGGAAAGGTGCCCAATAGACATTGACAGAAACAAACGTCAAAGATATATATACTCAGTTCCATGAGAAAAGTAACTTTTATTGTGGTTGTGTTATTAGTAATACATGACATTATGACTGTCAGCTAGGCTACATCATTTAGGAAATGTTTGTAATATGATTTTAGACATATGAAAACTGAAGAGGAATGAGGTCATAATTTGGGGAAGGGGTTCACACCTCTCCATGAAATTTGGATTGGGGATATGTGAATTGTAATCAGCTAATCTGTAATTGTAATCTGTTGTGGTCAAGTTTGCTTAATCTCATTCCCCATTTCTGGTGTCCCCCTTGTGATGTTGCTGGAATATTGCTAAAAGCGGCGTTCAGTCAGTCAGTCATAATCCATTATTTAGGATGAAAGGTTGTTTGTGGTGAAATGATTTCCTTTTCCCTGTGTTGTAGGTTTTGCCTGCAAGAAGCTAGCCATGGTTTTTTCGAAGCCATTTTTGCTGCCTTTGGAAGAGACTGACAACTATTTCGAACTGAAGGTAAAATGTCTTTCATAACAATGAGTCAGTTAGTGGAAGTGATGGGTGTTGTAGGGTAATAATATCAATACCCATGCAAGAAAACGTGGGTTGTGATCAGATGGGTGTTGTAGGGTACAATATAAGTTGTTCACTGGTCACGAGGGGCATTAGTTGATGTACCCTCGATGTTTGTTTTTCCTGTTCCCTAAGCCTTCCGGGGAACATAAACAAACATCGAGGGTACATCAACCCATGAGCCCCGAGGGACCAATGAACAACGTGATTTATCTTAACGAACACCTTAATTTTAATTTTGAATTGATTGAAGCACGGGTACAAATCTTTTTGTAGCCATCGCTAGATTTTGCTGACAATAAAAACAGATTTAGAGTTATCTCCCTTCCATCGATTTGCATTCGCAAAACATCGGTAATTTCCGTGCATCATATATGATTCAATGTAATTCGAGATAAAGAATTACTACCACGAAGTACCAAATGAGTTGCCATTGACAGCGGGTACATTGAAATGTTATTTGTAAGCGGGGTACATTGAAAAAAATAGAAGAGCGCTCAGCCAATCAGAAAGCGACATTTATGTGTGAGGTAAGATAAATACTGATTGATACACCATTTAAGATTCTGGTAAGAATTGATCTTCAGCAACACATGCTTGTTCTGAGAGGTGGCCCATGGAAGCTTTCGGACTTGGTTCATGTGTATCATCATATGATTAGCTTGATGTTCATGATGTCAATCACTGGACTGTCTGGTTCAGACTCGATTATTTACAGAAGAAAAATGATGATGATTTTAAGGGGAGGGTCGTCCATTTTGTTCTGGGGAGGTGGGGGTCATTAATTTTGTACAATGACTGACTGACTGACTGAGTTTGGTTTTACGCCGCTTTTAGCAATATTCCAGCAACATCACGGCGGGGAACACCAGAAATGGGCTTCACACATTGTACCCATGTGGGGATTCGAACCCGGGTCTTCAGCGTGAGGAGCGAACGCTTTAACCATTAGGCTACCCCACCACCCCTAATTTTGTACACATGTGCTAGTGGGGTGACATTGATTTTGTACATAAATTTTAGGGGAGGTCATTCACATTGTACATGTTTCCCCATTAAAATCATCATCATTGCCTCTTGCCATAAATTATGAACGGTCGTTTAGTCGTATCAAACCAAAGTTAGCGTGTTTGTCGTTGTTTAACAGAATGGTAGCACCCGAGATTTGAGTCGTATGAGTAATGTAAGTGTTATATTGCAGCCTTGTTTTGACATTCCAGCTTTGACAGACCCTGACACTCTCAAGAGCAGCAGAATGATGGACCAAAACATTACCCAATGATTATTATTTTCTGCCTTCAGGTGGATCATATGGACTTGTCCCGCTATGTGAACATGTTGGCCACAGCTGAGTTCAGTGATGACCTTGACCTCATAACAGAGGTCCACACACCGACAAGTGAGTATTGTCAAAAGATTGACGTGGATATTTCCATGTATCAAGTTTGACCATCCACAGTCAAAGCATTGCAGTACATTGCTGGCATGACCAACAACCACTAACGTGACAAAGATTTTGCAATTCTCAACAGTACATGGAAACAGGGATTAGCAAAGTTACATCCACCTGCATTATCAAAATGTTGCCATATGATGTGTTGACAGTTTCATGAGTTAATAATCCAGACAGAGTTATCCCCCTTGTATTTTCTCCCAGCTGAGTTAACGGTATCTCAGGAGTCTTAGTTTCTGAATATATAATTTTTATAGTTACAAATACGCCCATTTAAATTGAAAAGGAGCCCCAGTGAGATGGCAGATTCGTTTAGGGCTTTAGCATTGCAGGGCGGGCTAGGCAGTAGGGAAAATAATGTGGTTCAGGGACTGTGAGACAGCCTCTACATCTCTTCTGCTCCCAATACACAACTTTGATATTGACTTTTTGCTACAGAGAGCTGTCCCACTAATATATCTCCTGTCCAAATCTGTATACAAATCATGTTACAGTCTTCCTAGGGTGGGTTGTTAGAAACGTATGTTCAGAATCAGAAATCTGTCAGAAAAACATCATTGGACTTTCCATAGTTCCGTGGAGCGGTGGGGTAGCCCAATGGTTAAAGCATTCACTCGTTATGCTGAAGACCCGGGTTCGATTCCCCACATGGGTACAATGTGTGAAGCCCATTTCTGGTGTCACCTGCCGTGATGTTGCTGGAATGTTCCTAAAAGTGGCGTAAAAACCATACTCACTCACTCACTCTCTGTGGAGCAATAAGTCAAAAGTGTCTTTTGAGCTTGTTGCCATTATATCAGTTTTCTTTAAAGATGTCCAAGCTGTGTCTTCAGGTTGACACAGACAGACAATACCTTTACCAAGATTTCCTGATTTTCATTTTGTTTCGCTTGTAGTGTGACATTTCTTGTATCTGTACTGTTTTGCAGGTGATATCACAGTGAAGGCACCGACCCTAGATTCTGGCTACTTTAACCCCAGTCAGAAACTGATTCACACAACACGCTTCGGTACACCAAGGTCAGACTTCACACGTGACAATGTTCATAATTATCAACTGAAAGAGTATGCTGAAGAAAAAATCAAACTCAGGATTGTGTGGTTGAATTGCAGTTTGTGCCAAAAACCTTGAGTCTGCTTGCCTAAACATAGTCTTTGGCAAGATTTTCAGTAGGTTTTATTATTACAATGTAGACTGTTATCAGCTGAACTTACCATAGGAAACAGAATGTTACTACACTTAGGCGTGGGAATCATAAGCACATAGGAACCGCATGAACTTGGTTTTGTCTTGACTGCGTTAATTTGCTCTATATGCTACCTGCAGTGTAAATTGATAAATGAACTTTTTATCTTGAAATTTATCATGTTTTAGTAAACTGAATTGCCAAAGCTGTAACAGTAATGCAACTGTGCACACCAACTGGACAGATGTTGTTTGATGTGTTATGTGTTGTTGATATGAACATCTGTTTGCTGTGGTTTTACAGAGACAAGAGCTGTCCATGGAAGGCTGTGTATGAACACAAGGTGTTTGACAAGCTGGAGATACCCCTTCCCATCCCACACCCAGCTAACATAGCTATATCCATCTACAACAGGTAAGCATCCGTACTCTCCATATTGCTATCTACAACAGGTAAACGTCCCTACTCCCCCATATTGCCATCTACAACAGGTAAACATCCCTACTCCCCTGTATATCCATCTACAACAGGTAAACATCCGTACTCTCCATATTGCCATCTACAACAGGTAAACATCCGTACTCTCCATATTGCCATCTACAACAGGTAAACGTCCCTACTCCCCTGTATATCCATCTACAACAGGTTAACATCCCTACAACAACCACTGTAACGAGTTTATGCAGATATCTCAAATGTATTGTATTTTCCAAATATAAACCCTTACTTCATCATTTGTGTTGTTCAGGGAGAATGACCAGGCCTACATTGACATGGACAATGTGTTCTGCCAGAGGATTGTGCGAGCTACAAAAGAGGTACCGTATGTGGACTTTGGCGATCGCTCTAGCCTAGACATGTACGATGGGGAGCCTAGCACCCCTGATAATGCAACCGCAGAATCTGTCACTGTCGTCCCTTCCCATCTCGCTCTACAGGAACGGTCGTTCTCCGAGGAAGGCATGAACAAGCACACTGTTCCATTTACTGGCACTCCTATCTCTGACACGGCTAGCATTCAGATATCCACTGTTCCCTCCCCCCACTCCCTGTCCCCCGTTTCTCTGGCCGCAGGTCCGGCATCTGTCACTTTGGAGGTGGAGGATGGGGAGACTGACCCACCAAGAAGGGGACACTCTCGAGAAGAGAAAATTGTGTATTCTGAGGGTGAAATGGACAATAGTTGCATGATTTATATTGATGACGATCATTCAGAGGCTGTCCTCAAAGTTTGATGAATTTGAAGTGTATTGTTAATTGCAATGTGTTTTGCAATCAGATTGTGGGTGAAATGAAATGGACAATGTTTGCCTAGTGCTGTTTTTGTTAATCTCGTTCCTGTATTCGGGAATATTTTTCTTATTCCAAGATTTGATACTTGATTTTAACACATCAGTTGTGGTGCGATCACTTTTGTTGAGATGTGTGTCCAAAGTTGTATTAACTGTGTACAAATTTTCAAATACTTTGTGTGAAGTAACATTATTAGATTTGCTGTCCTCGATTGACCAACTAATCCTTCAAAAACTGTTGGCTGAGTTCCAGGATAGCGTTTCAGTGTGATTTTGTCCGTAGTACACAGCTATACTGGCTTACAGCTCAGGGATATTGTTTTGTTCCAATATAATCCAAGTTTTGTGTGACTTCCACCCTAACAAGATACACAGTTGTGGGTGTCCCATTTTGTAGTACTTGTCATTCTTTGTGGGTCAATCTGCCCTGTCTCGGTAGAAGCTTGCCAACCACTAGTATTAACTTAAGAATGTAACCAGATTAGAACTGACCGTCCATCTGAATTATGGGAATATTTATTACACTTTATATTTTTTAAAACCTTTCATTTGTGACTCTTGTTTTCTTTAAAACCCAGTAAGAACATTTATGAAACAAATATATTAATATAAAAGATATTTTAAGGTCAATTTTTTTTTAAATGTGTCTACCAAACACAAGAAATTGTGGTATATAGACTTAAAAACAGCTATCGAGATATCTTCTCCTAGTTAACTTTCACAAATCATTGTCCAAACTTTATAAGCTGAAAACAACTTGTATTTATGCCATGAAGTCTGGTAGTAAACATCAATGGGTGTATTTTTGCAGTTTCAATGCCTTCTGATCAATAATCAATATATATAGCTTGGAAAAACCTGATTACAAACTTAACACATGTTCTTCACCAATGCTATCATGCGACAATATAAAATATCCAGGTTCCTCTGTACCCAGATTGAGGTGTATGAGTTGTACTGGGTTATCTCCCTTTACTCCTAGTTACATCAGCTGTCTACTAACACTCTTATCCCAAATGTCAAAGCCAGTCCTACCTGTTCCTCATACCAATCTTTTAACTCAATGTACACACATATTCACTGTTTTCATTCCAGGTTATTCTGAATTCAAAGGTTTAACGCACCCTGCAAGTTGTTACTGACTTTAGTATCACTGAAACAATATATTATGTTATGCAAGTGTGTTCTTAGGCCTTACACCTGCACAGCACAGAAGAGGGTGTTATCAAGCTTATATTTCATTCTCATTTTGCCAAAGCTACATATGAGCATGATGGATGGGTGGGGTGGGTAGGGTAGGGTAGGGTGGGATGGTTGTTTGTGGGAGGTGACAAGGGTAGGTCTGATTTCAGATGTGGGTGTAGACTAAGAACCAGAGCCTAGATTTTCGAAGCTCTCTTAGCACTAAGATAGTTGTAAGTTAATGTTAATGTATGGGACTTACGACTATCTTATCGCTAAGAGAGCTTTGGAAATCTGGGCCCTGTCCCTTAGTCCCATTCTGATAGATAGCTGTAAAATTGCTTAAAACTTCGTTATAACGCATTGGTCACTTATTTGTTCATTAATGTAAATGAATTTTGACTTTTGTATCAGTAATAAATTGACAGTCTTGTGCAATTTTTATATGTCTTGAAAAGACCGAAAGAAACAAAATAGAGCCGTTGTATCTTTGTGATTTTAAACATTCTTGAAATATCTGTCTCTATCAAACTGAGAGCTTAAGCAAAACAAACAATATTTTTAACATGCATGATAATTTTAGCAATCAAAGTGTCAAATTTTATTCTTTTTACACATATTAAAACATATGATAAAGGGCTTGTGCAATCAACAGTATTTTATGTATTTGTTTTAATCAATACGGTCCAAACGTTTGGATGTGTGGTTGATATCAGTGTTTGTTACATGTAACAATGTAGAGTCATAACAACAACTCATTTTAAAAAAACAGTTCAGACCTGATTAAACTCATTTTGAAATAATGTTTGCAAACTTAAAATGTAAATTTGACAAAACCAAAACAAACTTTTTTTACTCTTCCTTTTTTGAAACAGGCAAAAATGTACAAGCCAATATTGAAATAATGTTTTGCACAACTTAAAATTAATAGCTGATCAGTCTGCTAAGTAAAACTCAGACAGGAACTCAAAAGATGGCCAAAAAGCTTATGATTTTAGTTGTTCTACAACTTTGGAGATGTTCTTAACTTTTTTCTATGATTATTGTGTTTTTTACAGAGTAGCAAGATTCCTATAACTTTGCTATTGACTACAATGCGTTTATATGGCTTCAGGTTTAGTCTTGTATAGATATTTGGTTAATGTGTACAGTAGTGATAAAATGTGGAAATATTTTATGCAAAATAGCTTCATCAAAATGTGTTCATTTCAGGGTCTAGATTTGCAAACGTAGATGTTGTGTACTTAACAGTTTTCATCATATCGTGCAATGCTTTATCTTGATGATGGTAGTGTCATCAAATTTTGATTTTTTAAGTAATTGTAAATATTTGTACTTTTCAAACTAGCTTGGTGCACTACATATCCCAACAATATTTTACTGTGTTGGAGATTTCCTTGATCATGGAGAGTTTACATCCAATAATCTTTTTCTTCCAACAGCGAGAATCTGTCTCTGTGGAACTCTGGTCAAATCTAACATGGATGTTTTACTTAGATTTTGCTATACAGTTGATTAATAATACTCATTTTCATCACAAATTGTGACAAATATTTACGATGATAACTGCTCATTCAAAAGCTGACCAAATGCTCATGGCTATTTCATTACGAAATTTCTTAATCTATTTCTGCTATGATTTCTATAATCATAGAACTAGAAGCATCTTTAGGAATTTTCTTCGAGCCATTTTCCATCTTGAAAATGTTTTTTGAAATATTTTTCGAGGGAAATAAGTAAAATGATTAAACCATGAATTGTATGATTAGTTTTGTGGAAATTCTTATATCCTGTCTGCTCCTCATCCAGTGGAGAGTGTAGAAGGATTGATAGTCAAATGATGTGAGATGTGACAGTGTTTATTATCTGTTGACAAAATGACATTTGTTATTTGATATGAATGTACATAAGTAGGTTGTAGATTGTGTTAATGATGTGGATTTGATAGCTTGTTCCAATGACATACTGTCTCATGTACATAGCTTTTGCCAATGTGAGTGTTCCAGGGCGGAATGGACATATTCCAGGGGATATTGATCATGTGGTCATTGAATCCTGTGAGTGAAAAGCTAACAAATAACAAAAAAAATTGTACTCAATCTGAGATTGTAATTTTTTTACCAAATTAAAAATAAGAACAAAAACTAAATATTTTAAAAGAATAATTTATGATGAAAATATAGGATAAAATATTCATACAATATTACTTGCACATTTAAAAAGTAATGAAGGCCAAATCGTAGATAATTTATCAGTAACCATAAGTTGGCTGCAGTTATGTATTGGAGCTGTACATAGGTATCTTTTTGCAACTGTAAAAGGACGACAGCAGGAATATTATGGCAAGAGAGGCGGGCGGTTGGGGTAGCCTAATGGTTAAAGCGTTGGCTCGTCATGCCGAAGACCCGGGTTTGAATCCCCACATAGGCACAATGTGTGAAGCCCATTTCTGGTGTCCCCTGCCGTGATGTTGCTGGAATATTGCTAAAAGCGGCGTAAAACCAAACTCATGCAGGCAGGCAGGCAGGCAGGCAAGAGAGGCCACATTAGATATATGACCAATAGCTGAAATGGACATTGTCAGTATCTCTGCTGTCGTCTATGTCCACTCGGCCCTTGAATCGCTCACATACCTGGTTGTGATGATTATATTGTCAAGGGTGATACTTGCACTTATTAACGTAGTCATGCTTTTTATAACATTGTAGTTTATTTTACATTTCAGCAGCTATGCAATTTTCTTGTGTTCTTTTCCATTTTTGTTTGCTGGTCCGTGTAAATAATTTGACCAACAACCTGTGCTATTGTGACTCTGTTCTTTTCTTGTTTGTTTCCAAGGATTGACGTCATCGACAGTGACAGCCTTGACAGCCGCTGCGCCCAGCTGGTCAGCACATATGTATATACACGATGTTCATTAATATTCTAATTGGTGCTTGATTTGAATATGCAAATGAATATTTGCTTTGCTTCCATGCTTGCATCTACTTGTATTCAGTGCACAAACACATTGTCAAAAACCCTGCTTGTGACAATTACAGTTATTGATGAAACTAGTTAATATTTAATGTCTAGAAATTTGTTGTATTCAAGCAACTGTTTTAGGTGTTTACAAATTCAAAATCCTTTGTAAAAGTATTTCATAGGTTGTTCATCATTTTGATTTTTCTTCCTGTTAATTTACTCTGAAACATTTAACAGTATAATTTATTCAAAGAAGACGTTATTTTCGGGGATAAATTGTGAAAAAAATGAGAGATTATTTGTTGCCGAAAATGTAGTTTTGACAGCAGTTCATGGACAAACAAAATGTTTAGCAAGTGTGACAGCACCGATGTTGACAAACGTTACCTGCAATGTTTGTTTTATGCACTAACTCTGCAATAAATACATACGGATGTGTAGAGGAGACTGACAGGGGCTCTGCTTCACTGCTTCATCTGTATGTGATGTGGCTGGATCCTCCGTATGCTTCATAAATGTCAGCCATGACAGAACAGTTTAAACTGTCGTTTCCATGACAGATTCCTTCCATGTAGAGTTTGTGAGTTGGTGCACTTTGTTTTAAAATACCAGTAATAGATCTGGATGCTCTAACAGATTGGTTTAACATATAAGTATTTGGTTGATGGGTGTCTGAGGGTCTGATATGCAGATGTGAATATACTTCTGTGCCATGTTTAGATTGTGCAGTGAAATAGATCCATGCTTCCAGAAACTACTGCTAAACAAACTTATAAAAATATCGTCATTAACAGTCTTATTTGGCAGTAGATGTTCTGTACTCAACAGAAGAATCCATTTCCTATGAACAGAGGTATGATGCAGTCATTATGGTGCAGCATGTTTCAACGTTGGTAGAAATGTAGTTACTGATAAAGCTTAAAGATCACATATACTCTATGCTTAAACATTTCACTGCCATATAGCTGGAATATTGCTGAGTGCGGCGTAAAACTAAACTCACTCACTCACTAAAACATTTCAAGTTTTGCAATATTTTCTTCTTATTTGACATTTATTTGACTTGGTACTTGGACAATATTCAGAACTGAAACTCCTGACAGATTTCACTCCACCTTTTTGCTTTATGCTTTGTTGGTAGTGGTTTTTTGTTTTATATAGCATTATGTGTTTTGGACCTTTGGACTTTTTTTAGCTTTGCCCTTTGAAATTACCCCATACATTATCTCAAAATGCATTTCATCACACTGTAGATATCATCTACTCAGAGTGAGTGAGTGAGTTTAATTTTATGCCTCACTCAGCAATATTCCAGCCATATGGCGGCGGTCTGTAAATAATCGGGTCTGGACCAGAAAATCCAGTGATCAACAGCATGAGGATCGATCTGCGCAATTAGGAACCGATGACATGTGTCAACCGTGTCAGTGAGCCTGACCACCTGATCCCGGTTAGTAGCCTCATACGACAAGCATGGGTTACTGAAGATCAATTCTAACCCGAACCTTCACGGGCATCATCTCCTCAGATACATGTTCACTGATGAAGCTGTAACTTCACATGCATATTCCATTATTAATGGCACTTGTTTTCAAAGTTTTGAACTGTATTTTAAATATGGCTGCTGCAGCAACCATTTTGTAAATTCTGTTTGATATAGTAATTACTCTGCTATTTGTTTACAAAATGTATTGACACTTGGTATTTGTTTTGTAATTTGTAGGTTTGTTTAGCAGTATCGCAGTTTGGAACAACATGAGTTTGCTAATTTTGATCTGACAGGTTCAATATGAGATATATTGTGGATCAAGTCCTTCTTTCTTCCTTTCGTTGACTTTCTAAACATGGTCGACAGGTCTTTAACTTGTATATGCATTCCTTTGATTCTGTACCTTATAGAACTATTCCAAGTATCAGTGCTTACCAGGGTAAACTGACACAGGAAGAGGCTAAAATTTGACAATATGGACAGAATATGATGTTCTATTAGGCAGTGTCAATGAATTTGCGGGAATTTATTTTATGAAATTGTGGGTTCAGTATTCACAACAAAAACAAAGTCCCCAAAATGTTCATGATCTCAAAATGTTTGTTTAGCATTTGTTTGGAGTTGACTTGAGACCATACTCACTAGCTCTGAAATATTTAAATGGGTTCCCTTATTTTTGTCCATTAGTATATTTGATAAGACAGAATTTTACCCAAGCACCTGTTAAACCAGATCCAGTCCAAACGTCAGAGATTGTTGAATGATACATGGTTGAAGTATGTCAAGTCAGTTGATGTTGTTTACCCATCACAGAGGTGTTGTTGTTTGGTATACTATTGCTTCCTCTGTGATGTTAAGTGACACAGTACATCCACCAACTTAACACTCAGCACACTGGAACACAGGGATGTAACACAGGGCTGTAACATAGGGCTGTGACATAGGGCTGCAACACAGGGCTGTGACATACGGGCTACACAGGGCTGCGACACGGCTGTGACCCAGAACAAAGATGCTAATCTAACAAGGAGGCAATCAGGAATATTGGGATTCTTGTGGTCGAAAATTAGTCATTTTCAAACAAATTTGTAATCACCATTACAAGCATGATTTTAGATAGAAATGAATTACTGTTATGTTTTGCATTGCAAATCAATTCAGGCACAGACAAGTTTAAGACTTCCTTGTCATGAACCTTCTTTTACAATCACAACTTATCCTGACATGGCTTGAACAAAATAGGCTCCTCAATGTGGGGGTGTGTTAATGTTGTTTAGTGGTGCTGATGCTGTGACAGATCACGTTTGCCTTGATCCTTACAATGAAAATATGTTTTTGAACAC